ATAGAAAGATATAGATAGATAGATAGATAGATAGATAGATAGATAGATAGATAGATAGATAGATAGATAGATAAAATGTTATTCCAGGACAGTTTGCATATCTCTTTTACTTTTTTTTTGACATGACTATTTCTCCCCTTTTATATTTTCATATAGTAAATGTGATCTACTAGTCATTAAATGTTTTTGAAGCTTTTTAATTTAGATGGCAATATTATTATAAAATTTTCTGTTCGAATTTTACTAAATAACAATCTTAATGAGTATAACTGTTTTTTTTGGAAGATAACAACTTAAACCCAAAGGGTTAGGTACTCTGCACTTTGTGGCTCTTGTTAAATGTACTTTTTGGATTGTGATCTTTGTTATTATCACTAGAAGGCACTTTGAGACAAACAATCCTTGCAGTTTTTCTAAGCTACATAAAGGCAAACACATAAAAAAAAGGGAAAGATGAGCACAGGGGTAAAGCGCCACATAATTGACAAAATGTCTAAAAATAATAAGGTGGCCTGCCTGAGGGGGGTGTGGAGGACAGAAAGGGCAAATCCCACTGCCAATTCTTTTGTAAAGATGTTACAAGCTAATTGCTGCCAGAGCTGTTTTGGTTCATTTTGATAACCAACTAAGCTATCTGTTCTCCCCTAAGAGGTGTTACTCTGAATTATGTCCTGTCTAAATGGTAATTTCTCCAAGGTAATAAGCTTATGGTACAAGGATAGCAAAGCAAGTGCTAGGAAATGTCTTTGAGGCATTATTAACAATCTCTAAACTAGTTTACTAAATATGCTTAATGGCACCTCAAGAATCTCGTTAAGTACAGCCGTTTCTGAAGGCACCAAGTATCACGTATTAAGCCATCTGTATCATTGATCACCATTTCTCTCCTCTCCCTACTCTGAATTGATCGTTAGTTAGGAATCCTCCTAGAAATGTATATACTTCCTTAGAACAATTGTAAACCTGTGCTGGAACATAGTAGGTCTGTCATATTTTCAGTATTAAAATTCTATTTAATGAGAAGTTTTGTTTACTATTATGGCAACTTGAAAAAATGCAAGTCATTTAGGGAAGAATGAAATACTAAGCCTGTGTTTTTTACAATCTTCACAGGAAAAATGAAAGGCTAGCAAAGATCAGTTCTGAACTGAAGAAACAGCAAAGCAGAACTTTACTCTGCACTGATATTACAGGGCCAGTCCTGGAGCCACCTGGTGTTGGAAGTCTTAATCATAGATTCATAAGCCATAGAAATTTTATTCCAAGAGAAAAGTTGGAGACTCCTGCCTCAACCCCATGGACTTCAAATAATAGCCTAGAGGCTTACTTTATCAAGGTTGGTTATATTATCTTCGTTCCTTTGGGTTTCAGATTTCAGATATAATTCTTAGTGCTAATTTGTTGAAATTCTGAGTTGTTTCATTGCCAAATGCACACTAAGTAAACATCATAATTATGTGTTAATAAAGAAAGGAAACAAATTTTGCAAACTTTCTGAAGTTCCTGATCTCTCATGTTCAAGAGGTACCTATCATGAACTTTATTCAAGAAATATAACTTATCAGACATAGTTTAAATTTCTTGAAAAGCTGCCTTGAAATTTGGTTTTAGAAATTAAGTCACATTGTCTAATAAACAATGATATACTTTTTAGGTGCATTGGCATACTTCCTAACTGATTTTAGTTTGGCAATTGCTCATAACAATTTTAAAGTTCTGCTGCACCCCAGTTATTCTATCCCTATGCATCAATGAATGATTGACATCCAATCCCTTAACCATAAATGAATGTATATTATTTAAATGAAACTGAGATCAATCCTTTTTTATGAATTTAGGTATCATTGTAACACTAAACAGATCAATTTCTCTTTTTAAGGTAAAATTTGTCATCTGATATGAGAGTACATCCTTAATTGCTATTTTACTTATACTATTTTTATTTTATTTCAATTTTTATAATATGGCTTGTTGAGCATTTGTACATTTTTCAAATAGTTAAACAAAGATTTGACTGTTTAAAATAAAGTTCCTTTATGTCTGTATTTCTTGCCATCACTTGAATGATTGATGACTAAGATGGCAATGACAGGGAGTCATTAGACAGCAACTAGTTCTCATTGATTATCATTGTTATTAAAATATCCATTCTTCATCTCATTTATTGAGTTCTTCAGCTCCAAAGTCTCTGTTTGAGTTTTCTTTTTTTTTTTATGGTTTTCAGTTCTTTGGTAAAGTCCAAAAAATATCATTAATTTTATTCCTGAGCTCGTTGAACAACCATTAGAATTTTCTTGTACCTCATTCATTTCTTCATGACAGCTGTTTCAAATTTTCTATCACTTAGATCACAATCTTCCCTTTCAGTTTGGTTTCTTAAGAACTGTCATGTTCCTTCAGTGTTACCATGTAACCTTGGTTGTTCATGCTACTTAATGGGTTGTTCCTCTGCTGGCACATTTGAAGTGGTGAACACTTCTCTTAATTAGGAACATTTTGGTTTGAACAATTCAGCAGGTTGATAAATTTGTTTTCCAATAGATGGTGGTTTAGGCCAGATTATGTTTTCTCTCACCTGTGATACTTGAGCCTCCTGGGTTAGGGTAATGGCTTAGCTGTGGGTTTGGGAGCACTGGCCTGAGTAACGAGGGTGGTGGGTGTCACCACTGTATCCAGGTCCTCAGGGACTTAGGGAACCACTACTGGGGTGTGGTGGTGGGAGATGTAGCCATTTGAGGGGAGATGGTTAGTGAGCCCTCTGAGATGCTACTTGGTTCTCTATGGCCACTGGCAGAGCTGTGGTCTAGCCTGGACCCTGGGGACTGGTCTCTGCTTCTACTACTGGTCTCTCTGGTGGTGCAAATGCTACTGCAACTGGAGAAGAATCTGGATTCTTGGGGAGGTGTGAGATGCTACGACTGCCCTTTTTACCCTCTGCTGTGCTATGTTGTTTAGGCAGCACCCTGGCTCCTTCACCAGTATTACCTTTGCTAAGACTGCAGACTCAGCCTTGTGTGCCTGGAAGTGCTGTTATGGGCCTGCCCTGTCCTTCTCCCATCCTGCCTCCTACATATTCCAGTAAGCCCACCTTCCCACATACTGATGTGTGGATCTTTTAGGCATCTTAGTGTGCTGAGCAGAGGAGCCTTTGTTGGGTTTAAGATGTCTGACTAGTTCTAGATTTAAGGGGAAATGCAAAGGGATTGTCTCACTTGCATGGTGTTGACGTCACTTTCTAAAATATCCATTTCAATCAATACACATTAGTTTATGGTTTTAATGGTGTTTTTATGGTCTTCTCAATTCAGAGAAAAAGAGCAGAAGCCTGTGCTAAGTGAGACTTCAGCGCTGTTGTTGAATTGGGTTTCATAATGATAATCAAAGAACAGGAAAGTTAAGGGTTTTTTGATAGCCTTTTGACCAAATAGAGTCTACATGCTTCGAAGTAGTGAATCTGGATTGACTACTGGGTACCCCAAAAATGAATATCTGTAAACTGTTAAGCATGATGTACACTCAAAATGCTCTCATTAGTTCTCACCAGAAAAATCAGATATAGCATCATTTTACAAGATGAAGATGAAAGAGTACGTAAATGTAGAAGCAATGTAAGAAAAAATTTTTGTGGAAATATTTCTTTATTTAATTTTTTGGTCAAAAAGAGGTGTTTATTACTTTTTAAATATGTTTCTAGATAAATCGAAAAATACTTTCTTTTAAACATAATGTTGTAGTACCGAAGGATATATAGTTCCCTTGTGGAGCACTGTTTTGCCAAATCATGCCAGGCTTAATTAGAAAGATAAAAATCAGCACTCTATCAAGATCCAGACATAGGTCTCCAACATCACTACAGAACGCCTAGAAAGATTTCTTATACAGTTGTTCTTTACAGAATTCTTAGTCAGACATGCAGGAAAAAGGTGTCTTTTAGAGTTGCCAGGAGTTTAATGAATGCCACTAGGAAAACATAAAATAATACCCTGAGAGAGGGTAACATCTCATCTAAAATGATAGAAAGGGGTGGGTTTTTAATGGGGCACTGCAAAATGACTGCATTCTGAAGATTTTTAGCTATGATTCTCGAGTCAAATGTTAAAAATAGCATTAATATTGAATGTGTTTATCAGTCACCTTTATTTGCAAGGTTTTAACATTTTGGACTATTTTTACTATGAAGTTCTAACTTATTCAGTATTGTATATCTAAATTTAATGACAGTAATTATAATGAAGTATTGCTCTAAGTCTGTGATTTCAGTTGTACTAGTAGTCAAAGCAAGTTTTCTCTGCGTTCATAACTCTTAAGTGTAGGGCCTCTGTCACCAGTGCATGAAGTTCAGTCTTGCCCACACGATGCCATTGTAGTGGGACAGGTCACTACTTATGTATTTTGCTAACTTTTACCTTCATTTTTCACATTCTAGTTAAATCATGGGATGTTTGCCCTATATTTCAGAAATAATTTTACAATTTAATTCAATTGTGTTATTTAATTATATTGTTATAAAAAAAAGGAAAGCTAAAATTAGCCTGAACAGACATATCACTAGATTTTTCTTAACACGTAGAACGTTTTTCTAAGAACTGAAAATGTACTCCAGACAATTTTATGACAGATAAATTTCTCAACCTGTACTCTCAAATCTAATAGAAAAGTAGCCATTCAATAATTAGTATTGAAAAAGTGAACATATATTTGCATTTTATCATGCTTTTCTGCTGTGATTGGCTTTATTTTGTTTCTCTAAAATATTCGTTACAACTTTTTCCCTTTAAAGTGGAAGTTGTTTTGAACAATATTCATTAATTATAAAGTCAAAGAAGAAGAAAACATTTCTATACTTGTTGTGCAGTTATCTTTTTGTTAGAGCCATGGTGGGGTAGACGGCAAATGATACTCCTCTTCCCCTTCTGAGTCAGAACATAGGAATTGGGCAGGTGGAGATCGCCTTACTCGCTTTGTTACTGACACATACTAAGGACATAGAGGCTGTGGTTTAGATGTGTGGCTGCAGTAGGCTTCCAAACACTAACCCCGAATCAAGATATTCCCCCTCACAGTTGTCAGCAGAGGAAACAATGCTTGACACCTGTCTCAGGGGCAGGCTGCTTACTGCAAAGATGAAGGCAGATTCGACTACACATTACTGTGGGAAAACAGATCCTTTCAAAGATGAGATCTGAAAACAAGCAAGCATTTCTTAAAGATTCCTTCTCTCAAATTCAACCATTTGGAAAATCTCTCCTCCTATCTTGAGGAACGTAGAGAGAGTTTAAGTCCTCATGTGAAAAACTGAGACAGAGAAATGAGGTTCTCCTATGATTTCTGACTGGGTTGAAATTATAGTTGAAATTAAGCTCATGTCTTTTGTACATACCAACTAATGGTGAGAAGTTGGACAAAAGTATGTTAGATGGTGAAGAGAAGTTTCTGTTGTGTTTTCAATTATGCTATAGATAACCACAACATGGAAAATTATTTCTTGATTAATTTTGGCAAACCAAGCTCTCTTTGGAGGAAAATGTTCTTTAAAGGATCAAATTCTTCAAATTCAGCTTACCTGGTTTACCAAAAGATTTTCTTTCAAGTTTGCTGTCCCATCGTTTAAAAAAAAAAAGAAAGAAAGAAAAAAGTGTGCTTTGTAAATTGAGTATATTGACTGCTCATACTTAAAGTTTTGGTATTAATTTTTGGTTTGCTATTTTAATTTATGTCTTAAAATTAATAATTTAATTAGAAAGTTATTGTATCTTATGCCTAAACATTAATGAGCTACGTGACAAAGTTTTACATATTTATTTCTCTGAGTTATAGTAAAAAATAGTGCGTTTTTCCTGAATATGAGGAATTAGCTGGCATAGAACTTCAGATTCACTAGGAAGACCCAAAGCCCATTCCTGGCTTGCAGCTAATAGGTTTTGTGATCTTAGGCAATATGTAACCTCTCTGAGCTTTTGTTGCTTCTTATGTAAAATTAAGGAGTTTGCCTAAATCAGTGACTATCATTCTTAAATAATTCTTTTTTGAAGATTCGAATCATTCTTTGTTTAAGAAAATTTTTTGCATAAAATTGTATTACATAACACAAAGACAAATGGAGCTGCCTAGCTAACGAAAAGATAGAGACTCTGAAGCTGTGCAGTCTTAGAGGTGTCCCCAGTGGAACCTTAGATTTCAATGGGACATAATTGAGAACAACCAGTTATGAGAAATTCTTCTAATTAAAACTCCTTTGAATTAAAACTTCTGATACATTGTTTTCCTGTGTATATCTTTTTCATCTTTCTACATTCTTGATAAATTGAAAAGTATAACTCAAACTGTAGATGTGTGTCTTATTAATATTGGACTTCTAAGAACTTCTACCATCTAAACACAGTTCTGACCTAGAAGTAAACGTAAGAGTCATAGAAGTAAATATTTAGGAAAAAAAACTTATTGGGGAAAAGATAATAACGTTATATTGGTGGTTCTTTAATGTAAGTCATGAAAAATATGATTTACATTTTATATAGTTTTTAAATAGTAACATGAAATTGTTTCAATAAAGGTCTCTCCCTCCATATGGTATTGAGTTCTTGATTTTACAAGGCCTTTCTAGTAATGATGTCACATTACTTATTTTATAAGCCGTATCTTTCATGCCATTGTCAAAAACATTTTATAGAAAACAATCTTTGAAATTATTGGGAAACATGTTAGCCAACAAATTTGTCTTCATACTTAAACTTTGGAGAGGCACTGTCACTGTCACTACAGTGTTTATTTTGTTCAGTGTATATTTTAAACCTTGTTTTGGGGCATTTAGTGAGAGGAAACCTTTTATAAGAAAAGTTTAAAGACAAACACTCTAGATGGGGATACTTGTAATACAGTTTGAAACATTCCCACACATTTCATAATTAAGTAGACTGCAACAACAATTAGTTGAATATTTCAAAAATTAGCCCTAATTTGTAAACAGGAAACAAAGTTACAATTAAAGAATTATTTATTATTTTTGTTGTTACTAACTATAGAGAGTCAATCAGAAACTAAGTTTGAAAATTGACTCTAGCCCATATTTCTCCTTTCTTCAAGCAAAGTTTCTGAAATCTTTGTGTCCTTATGAATAAAGAAATGTTTTAGTTCTATTACACACAGCATAATAGTGTTACATATTTTTTGTGGGTAGAATTATCACATGAAATGATATTACCACTTTTATCATTTTACTTTCAAAAATTAATAGCATAGAACATACCTTATGATTTTAATTTTCTAAAAGTGTAAGGATGGAAAGCTTATTTTAAGAAAACTCCATTAGAACAAAAAACTTTAAAAATTTATAAAGGGAAGTTTTTCTAAGAATTGCAAAAGAATGCATTCAATGTAAACTTGACTTGTTTAAACTTCTTTACACCAATCAGATGAAACATCAGCCTTCTGAAATTATGTTTTTTCAATAGACCAATGTCAGTTGTATTTTTATCAGATTAATCTAAATATTATACATATGTACCTTCTCTATTATCTAAAATTTAAAGTAGAAATTTATTTTATTTTATTGACATAATTTTTCTATGTACGTAATCCCCAGGTTAGATCTAGTCTCTTAAAGTATTATTTAATAGCCACATTTCATAAGCTATATATCATTCCCACAATAATGTCTATTTAACTTAAATGCTTAATAATATTTGTTTTATTTCAGATGCAGCGAGAGATGGATAAAATGATAACTAAAGAATCAAATGAAGGTATGTTGTAAAAAGTTATTAATTTAATTTAGATATCATTGATTTCTGATATAAGCTACAAATAGTAAATGGCATCCCAATATGTTTGGACAATAGATACTACGTTAAGTATTTTCTTCCACATAGCAAGTGGAAAATGTGAAAGCATAAACATTCATAATGAAGAATATACTTATTCCTCATTTACTTATCCTGTTCCTTAGCTTGTTAAAAACCTCAAAGGTCCAGGTATTTCTTTTTATTTCTGGCTACCTACTTCCTTTCCTCCACCATCCCTATGGAACTGTCAACCTGCACACTGAAACTACCGTCAGAAACTGAGCTTCATCATCTTCTCATGTTTTTCCTAGTGATAGATAAGGCCCCAAACCAGACTCATCAAGTAATACTTAGCCAAGCCATTACAATTCCCATAGCTGTCACCTTCTTGGTGACATCTCCGCCTCCAGTCATTGACTTTGTCTTTGGTTTACCTTTTGCCCTGAGGAGAGAAAATCCAAATTCCTTTGCATGGAATAAAAACATTAGGATTAATTTAGTTCTTCCCTAATAATTCAGCCTTATTATCTCTTGCTCCTTACCTTATTCTGCTCCTTTGCTCTAACGTCTAGCCAAACTGGACTACTTCTAATTCCATCATTCATCACTCATCTACCTCTTCCCTCTCTCTTGCATACTTATTTCTTGTCCTTCAGGTATCAACTTATATATCACCTCCACCAAAAAGCTGGCAACATAGACACAAAACTGGGATGTTTCTTCTGTTTGTTCCAATAGTGTCTTGTTCTATATTTATCATGGTATATATAACTCTGAATGAAAATTGTCTGATCATCTGTTTTTTCAGTTTATACTATACGATTGTTTAGGTGTAAATCATGTCATCGTTATCTTGTAACTCCAGTGCTTGTCGTACTACGTTAGCACACGATTGTTGAAAAAATGAATGAAGAAGATGAAACCAGAAGCTCTGACACTTAGCCACAAGAGCAATGAATTCAGTGTGCAATCATGAGCAAATTCTATTTAATAGTAATCTCATATCGTGTATTTTTTCATTGATCTTAACACATATTTAGTTGTATTTTAGATAACAAATATAATCATTTTTCTTTCCAGCTGCTGCTGAATTTGAATCTAAGTTCCATAAACCTTGTCCTCTACAATCCACTGGTGATCTACTTTTGAACGCCTCAAAAGAATATGTACAGATTTTGAAGAAAAATTATATGTTGTGAAACTCAAATAATAAAAATGTATTTACTGATCTGTTTATATAACATTTTAATTGTTCCCATTAACCATATGACACGTGAACATCTTCATTAAAAGAAAATATTTGTGTATCATATGTGGATGGTGTAAATTTATACAGTGTTTTAAACTGTTTCTTGGCATCTAACTAGCTTTTCAGTAGATTTTGTGAATGAAAACAAACACTATTGAGTTTTAAATACTCAAACTACCCAAACACCTGCTATTTAAACAAGACCCATACAACCAAGTTTTCATTTGATGTTAGTGGTGTTCATTGAGAGCTCTTTTTGTATTTTTCAATTTTTAAAGTTTTTTATTAAATTTACTGATGTGAACATTGGTTAATAAAATTATATAGGTTTCAATTGTACAGTTCAATAATATGTCATTCATGTATTGTATTGTGTGTTCATCACCCAAAGTAAAGTTTTCTTCCATACCCTTGTATTTGACCTATGTTACCCTTATCTACCTCCTCCCACTTTCTTTTTTCTCTGGTAACCATTAAACTGTTGTCTGTGTCCATGAGTCCCTGTTTGTTTGTCTTATTTGTTGTTGCTTTTAGTTTTATGTCACACTTAAGAGTGATAGCATATCGTTCTTAAGCTTTTCTTTCTGACCTATTTCACTTAGCATGATAATCTCAAGTTCCATCCATTTTGTCACAAATGACAGTATTTCATCTTATGGCTGAGTAATCTTCCACATCTTTATCCAATCATCTATCAAAGGGCATTTTGATTGTTTTCAGGTCTTGGCCACCACGAATAATGCTGCAATGGACATCAGGGTGCACTGACTTTATGGATAAATATTTTCAAATTTGGGGAGTAGATATTCAGAAGAGGGATTTGCTGGATCGTGTGGTAGTTCTAATCTTAGATTTTTCAGGAACCTCCTGAAAGTGTTTCCCTAGTAGCTGTACCAATTTACATTCCCACAAGCAGTGTATGAGGGTTCCTTTTTCCCCACAGCCTCTCCAACACTTGTTATTACTTGTATTGTTGATAATATCCATTTTAACAAGCATGATGTGGTATGTCATTGTGATTTTGATTTGCGTTTCCCTAAAAGCTAGTGAAGTTGAGCATCTTTTCATACATCTTTTAGCCATTTGCAGGTCTTTTGTGTGATGTGTCTGTTCAGGTCCTCTGCCCATGTTTTATTGGATTGTTTGTTGTTGTTGTTGTTGTTGAGTTGTATGAGTTGTTTGTATATTTTGGAAATTAGCCTCTTATCAGAGGTATTGTTTGCAAATAACTTCTCTCATTCAGTTGGTTGCCTCTTTGTCTTGTTGGTGGTTTCTTTTGCTGTGCAAATGCTTTTTTAGTTTGATATAGTCCCATTAATTTATTTTGGCTTTACTTCTCTTGCCTTGGAGGTCAAATTCATAAAATTCTCTCTAAATCCAAGGTCTATGTTTTAGTACCTATGTTTTCTTCTATACAATTTACTGTTTCAGATGTTATATTCATATCTTTGATCGATTTTGAGTTAATTTTGGTGTATGGTGACAGATAGCAGTCTAGTTTTATTCTTTTGCATGTGTCTTCCAATTTTGCCTGCACAATTTACTGAAGAGGCTTTCCTTGCCCCATTGTATGTTTTTATTTTTTTATTTATGTTTTTTCCCCTCTTTAATTCCCCTCCCCCAACTTCCACCCCTGACCTATGGATGTTGCCATTTCCCCTTAAGAACTGGATCTCTGAAGGCAGGTCATCCTCTCTCACACACTCACGTCATGCACCCAGGGCCTGGCATACCCGGAGCCTGGTGCACTCAGAGGGCCTGGCGCACTTGGCAGGCCTGGCGCACCTGGGGTATGGTCCATGGCTCCACCTGGGGCATGAACCCAGGACCTTCTGCATGTAAAGCAGACATGCTAACCACTACACTATGGAGCCACCCCTATTGTATGTTTTTAAATCCTTTGTTGGAAATTATTTACCCATGTGGAGGGGTTTACTTTTGGACTCTTAATTCTGTTCCAATGGTCTTTGTGTCTGTTTTTCTGCCGATATCATGCTGTTTTGAATACTGTCACTTTGTATTATACTTTGACGTCGAGCAGAGTGATACCTCCAGCCTTGTTCTTTTTTCTCAATGTTGCTTTGGCTATTCAGGATGTTTTGTGATTCCATACAATTTCGATGTTATTTTGTCCTATTTAAAATATGCTGCTGGATTTTGATGAGGATTTCATGAAATATGTATATTGCTTTGGGTAATAAGGTCATTTTATCTATGTTGATTTCTCCAATGCATGAACACAAAATGTCTTTCCAGTTCTTTGTGTCTTCGTTGATTTCTTTAATAATGTCTTATAGTTTTCAGTGTATAGATTTCTCACATGCTTTGTTATGTTTATTCCTAGGTATTTTATTCTTTTTGTTGCAATTGCAAATGGAATTTTTTAATTTATTTTTTGAAAAATTTTTGTTAGTGTATAAGAATGCTATGGATTTTTGTACATTGATTTGTATCCTGAAACTTTACTGTATTTGTTTATCATTTTTAATAGTTTTTTAATGGAGTCTTTAGGGTTTTTATATAGATAATCAAGTCAACTGCAAAAAGTGACAACTTGACTTCTTCGTTCCCAATTTTGATGCTCTTTATTTCTTTCTCTTGCCTGATTACTCTAGCTAGGGCTTCCAATGTTATATTGAATAATGGTGATAGCAGACAGCCTTGACTTGTTCCTGGTACTAGAGAGAAGGCTTTTAGTTTTTCACCATTAAGTATGATGTCAGCTGAGGTTTGTTGTATATGTCCTTTATTATGTTGAGCTACTTTGCTTCTATGCCCCCATTATTAAGTGTTTTAATTATAAATGGATGCTATATCTTTCCAAATGCTTTTTCTGCATCATATGATCATATGATTTTATCCTTCATTTTGTTTATGTGGTGTATCACATTAATTGATTTGTGTATGTTAAATCATTCTCATGCCCCTGGAATGATCATGATGTAAAATCTTTTTAATGTATCGTTGTATTTGATTTGCAAGTATTTTGTTTAGGATTTTTGCATCTGTATTTTCAGAGACATTTGTCTATATCCAATCATCTAGTGTGTGTGTGTGTGTGTGTGTGTGTGTGTGTGTGATCTTTATCAGGTTTTGGTATGAGGATAATATTGGCCTCATAAAATGAGTTATGAAATACTGCTTCTTTAATTTTTTGGAAAAGGTAGAGAAAATTTAAGTTATCTTTGAATGTTTGGTAGAATTTATTAGTGAATCCATCTGCTTCTGGACTTTTTCTTTCTGGGAGGTTTTTGATGATTGTTTCCATTTCCTTACTATTAATCAGTCTATTTAGATTTTCTAATTCTTGATTCAGTCTAGGGAAGTTGTATATTTCTAAAAACTTGTCTATTTCGTCTAAGTTAATGAATTTGGTGGCATATCATCTTTCATAGTATTCTTTTTTGATTGTTTGTATTTCGCTGGTATCTGTTGTAACTTTTCTACTTTCATTTCTGATTTGGTTTATTTGTGTTCTTTTTTTTCTTAAAGAGTCTAGCCAGTGGTTTGTTAATTTTATTGATCTTTTCAAAGGACCAGCTCTTTGTTGCATCAATTTTTCTACTGTCTTTCTTTTTGTTCTCAATTTCTTTTAATTCTGCTCTAAGTCTTATTGTTTCCTTCCTTCTGCTGCCTTTGGGCTTCTTTTCTTCTTCCTTTACTAGGGTTATGTTGCTTATTTGTATTTTTCTCATTTCTTGAGATAGGCCTGTAATGATGTGAACTTTTCTCCTGTTACTGCTTTTGCTATATCCCAAAAGTTTTGATATGTTCTATGTTCATCCTGTTTTGTTTCTTTGTATCTTTTCTTCTCTCGTTTTATTTCTTCTTTGACCTAGTTGTTTCTAGTACAATGTTGTTTAATTTCCACATATTTTTTTCTCTTTATTTTTGCAGTTGATCTTCATTTTCAAAGCATTGTGGTCAGAGAATAGGCAAGGTATGATTTCAGTCTTCTTAAATATGTCAAGGCTAGTTTTGTGTCCCAACATATAGTTTATCCTTGAGAATGTTTTATGTGCACTAGAGAAGTATGTGTGATTTAATGTTTTGAGATGAAAGACTCTGTAAATGTCGATTATGTCCAATTGTTCTAATGTCTCATTTAAGGTTCATATTTTCTTATTGATTTTCTGTTTGGATGATCCATCCATAGCTGACAGTGCGGTGCTTAAGCCTCCTAGTATAATTGTGTTTTCGTCAGTTTCTCCCTTTAGTTCTGTTAGTAGTTGCTGTATATATTGATACGTGTTCTATTTTCTTGATATATTGTCCCTTTTATCATTATGAAGTGTCCATCTTTGTCTCTTGTTAACTTGATTCTTGAAAACTGTTTCGCCATATATAACTACTCCTGCTTTATTCTGGATGCCATTTGCTTAAGGTATCATTTTCCATCCTTTCACGTTGAGTCTATATTTGTCCTTGCAGATGAGATGTGCCACTTGAAGGCAGCATATGGTTGGATTTAGTTTTTTGATCCAATCTGCTACTTTGTGCTTTTATATTGGTAAGTTCAGTCCATTTACATGTAGGATGGTTATTGAAATATTTGGTTTTCCTATAGACATTTTATGTTATGTTTTCTGTTAGCTCGGTGTCTCCAATGTTTTTTTGTTCTTGTTTTTCTGTTTGTTATTTTAATTGGTGGTGTTCAATAATTTTTTTCTCTGTTTCCTATTGCTTCATGTTATGTGTCTAAGTGTGGGAATTTTTTGTGTCGTTACTATTAAGTTTACATAAAGGAAAATTTCATATATACAGTAGTCCTTTTTTTGTGTGCATATTATGTTCATTTCCCTTAGCAAATTCCAATCTTTACTTGCTCCCTTTTTCTGTTTTTGTTGTCTCAAATTATTCCTAGTTATGCGATGTGTTCATTTCTAGGTTGCATTAACCATTGTCTTCTTCATCTCTCTTTAATTTTTTTGACCTTTAATCTTTATGTAA